AATGCCGATCAATGATGCCAAAAATATCGCCAAGATTTTACTGCCCTGAAAAAAAAAATCACTCAAGGTATTTATCACTAATGGCAGGATATTTCAGACGAGTGCACCATTAATTGGCAGTGAGGACGGACCGAATGTTGAGCTGCATTTTACTGCACATTTGTGTGGTCTCCATTTACTACTATCTGCACCTGTCAAGTGTAGGTTTCTCTCCGAGACCCGAGGGTTGGAAGAAATACAGTGGTTTGATTATGTAATCAAGTACTTTTTAACCGTTTTTTATAAAAAATATTATAATAATATTAATTATTAATAACAGTAGATTAAACACTCAGTATCAGTATTCTACAATCAAAGTGGAAAAAAGGTATTGATAAACAATACATGTTATTAATAATTAATTATAATTGAAGTATTTACCCATATCTGTCTTTAGAGTGTACTTCTGTCTTATGCATTTCTCCCATTCCCAGTTTTCACGTACAATTCAGGAGCATGGTGCTGCTGCTTTCTTCCTCTCTTGTTTGAAAAAAGCAATTACACTGATAATTAGCCATAGGGACAATAACTGAACCAGTCCTTCATTCTAGAGAACATTCAAAAGATCTGTGAGCAACAATAATACAAATGACACAGGAAGGCAATGCAATGTGCTTTAGTAAATGTTTAGAATATGACTGAATTATTGAGAGCAAACAAATGAGCCTTTAACATCACCCAGCAACAACAACAACAATAATAATAATAGTATCCTCCATCATTATCTTCATTTCATCCTCAGTAATAGAAACATTCTCAAACAAACACACACCAGCAAATGTCTTCATATCATTCATATCATTTCCAGAAAAACCTCTACTTTCAAAGACAAGAGGATATGCTGCATCATCGTTTGAAAATCTGTGCACAGCAGTGAGAGGACAAACTGTTTAGAAAGTGTTTCCTGCTTCCCTTTTTTTTACAAGTATTTTCAGTGGTCAGCTGCTACGCTACCCATGTAATTTTGGTCAAATCATAATAAATGGTGAAATGTTGAGTTCCATGTGTTACATAAAATCTGAAGACCAGCAGTTATCACTAGGGATCCAACCATGATCCTTGCTGTGAGCCAGGACCACATATGCCAATGTACATTTTTTTTTCATTTCTGTAGATCAACAGGATCATGTATCTTTTGCTAATCTAACTTAATTTTATAAATGCGATTGTTAATGAGTGTACACCTTCTTGACATTTGAGGATTGTGCTTTTAAAAATCGTTTTGTGTGCGTTATGTTCAGGCCAACGATGCCTCAGGGAACACATGGAACTGGCTGTACTTCATCCCACTCATCATCATCGGCTCCTTCTTCATGCTCAACCTGGTGCTCGGCGTGTTGTCAGGGTGAGTACTGCCTGTGATCCAGAGCTGAAATCGACTTCCTATTCACACAGTATCACTGACTTCCCATCATGGTCCTTGTAGCTAAAACCTTTTTTTGTATTTTAGACATTTACTTCTGACCAGACTGGACTAATCGGTGACATTCAGATAAAGCGGTTTAAAAGACAATATTTTGTCTTAGCTTTATTTAATAGAACCACACACTCTGTGCTGTTTTAATAGCATATGCTTCAACCCTATGGGGGAGTGGGGTTTGTGTAAACCAGTGTGTTTGGTATTCATGGAACTGTTTCACTTGGGTTTATCTGTGTTTGCCAGACAGGAGCAGCTATAAACTGTCCCAGCGTCCAAAGCCTGTTGAAAGAGGGCAGAGTATTTCTACACTCTTATACTTTTGGCCTGTTGCTGTGAAAACAGTTACTTTATGAATGCAACTACTACTGCAGTCTGTCAGTTAGTCAGACAGTCAGTGACAGTCAGTGACAGTCAGTCAGTCATTTAATTAATTGTCAACTAATTAATGATCTACAACAGAATAAAATATGAACAACAGCCAAACATAGAAGTCCACAGTTTCAGTATTTTATTCCCGAGGACATTAATTATAGCGGTCAGTCAGTTATTTGTTCATAACTACAACGTTATCGCAACATTTTTTCACACCTTTTTAAAAAAAAAACTTAATCTCCTTACCCAATGTGTCTGTCTTTTTCCTCTGCTGAAACTTGAGTCAACCGGTTTGTGTTCTGTTGTCAGTTTTTTTTGTTTTGTTTTGTTATTTATTTTCAGTTTGTTTTCAGTTATGGTTCTGGCATCAGTCTATCAGGAAGCTTTCATGGTCTACCATCTACTCAATTGGTGCTGTCCACTGAACTTGAACAAGTATGGTTTAGCATAATTTAAAAAAAAACTGAGTCTGACTGAGTCCTGAGCTGTTAGCTGATGTCAGTCACGATAATATTTACCTATAAAGCCCTCCAGTCTTTCAAGTGCTAAGAAGGATTGCATCAGTGTGTTTCCAGCGGACCACAGATGTCAACACTCCACTTCATCCAGAGTCTGTGCTGTTTAATTCACCAGTTCAGGCAAACATCCACATTATGCAGCAGCTTTGATGAAATATTCATGAGTTATTTCAACGCATTATTCAAGTTTTAATACAGGCCTACCTCACCATGACAGTGTGTACTGTGCACCGTGTGGCTGCAGCAGTTTAGTTTCATTCTGTAGAAAACATTCAATCCCTCATTCATTAAACAACACAGATAGCAGGACAAAGTAGTGAGTGTATCATCAGCTTTATTAGGAGTGTTGTCCTTTTTCATTGATTCACTCTGCAATGTCTAATCTCTCAGTTTCTATCACGAGTAACATAATGTTTTCTCTTTTTACTGGTGACAGAATTTTTGGGATGGAAATTGGTACAGTTGATTTTACAGATTTTTCAATATCAAGAGGTTGGATGGATGATGGATTGTTGGATGGATGGATTGTTGGATGGATGGGTGATGTATTGGTGGATGGATGAATGATTGATTTGTGGATTGATGAATGGATGGATGATGGATTGTTGGATGAATGGATGATGGTTTGGTGGATGGATGGCTGCACTGTTAGATAGTTGGGCAGGTGATGAGGGATGGATGGATGGATGGATGGATGGATGGTTTCATGAACACAACACATCAAACACTATTTCCAAAGACATTGTCTTTTGTCCTATGTGGTTGTCCTCATGTCCTGACTGCCGCCTCACGTCTGTCATGTAACAGTTTTAAAGGAATGAGCTAAAATACAGCTTAGTGCTATCTAATCTTTTTTTACAGATTACAATATATAACACTGTAAAAAAAAAGGCTTTAATCTTCATAATGCAAACCTCCGTTCCTGAAGAACAATAAGTTCTTAGCTGCACTATTGTTTACTTAATTTTTAATTTTAATGGCATAATTGGATGCAGTGGAGAGTGATGTGTGATGAATACAGTGCACAAACTGCAGAGTCAGCACAGCTCAGTTTTTTAAATGTGTCTGTTTCACTTTGCAGTCCTTTTCTCTAGTCTCATAGTTTCCATTACATAATAAGAGCTACTGCAAACTGACGCAAACAATTCCAAATAAATAGGTGTCTTGACTGAAGGAAGCTTGGTACATTTAACATGTTAAGGGTTTACTGAAAATTACACAATGTATGTATGAAAATGTTTTAATCCCTTAAGTTTTACTTTCTTATCTCTGGGAAAGTAATCTTCCATTCCCATTTAAATATTCTTAAGCTCTCACTAATATAATACAGCAGCAGAGGGTCAGAGCTGCAACAGAAGTGTTCTCTCTTTTATTTTTACTACAGCAATTGCATTAACTGTGTTGCTCTTACATTATATTAACCACATACTGGTTTTTATTTGCTCTGTTATATGTAGAATGAATGTCTACAGTATATTAATAGTTAGAAGCACTAAAGGCTCTCCTCCTCCTCACCCTCCTCCTGAATCCCTCTCCCTTCTGTAGCTACATCTATCCTCCCCTGACCTATTTCCACAGCTCCACAGCCACAGCAGTGTTAAATGAGGTCTGAGAAAAACACCAGTCCAATTCATTGTGTATCTGAAGTCACTCTTCAGATTACAAGTCTCCTGTACTTTGTCTTGAACTATCTGGTTTCTACCAGGACAGAAGAAAAAAAACATTACACTTCTAGCAAAGTGCACATTTTTACTGTAAATCCTAATATTTTATATTAATATTAATTTATTTAATATGTATATGTATATATTATTTATTTCAATTCATGTTAAGTTAAAAGTGTCCCAAATCTTTTGGCATACCCATTAGTAATTTCTTCAGTTGGGAACATAGCTAACAAACTTTATGCATGAATGTACGTGATGTGATGTAGAAGAGGGAAGTCAATGACTCAATGAATGTGTGCATGTTCACAGTGAAATACCCTTTTAATCATGCGGAACTGTGAGGGAGGAAAAAAGAAAAGAAAATCAATTTTGAGGAATTTGTGGAGGTCAGCGTTGAATGGCCACAAATAAATCAATCTGCAAAAATGAAAGAGATCATTGAGCTTTACCTGAAGAGACCAATGTTCCTATCTGAAAAAAACATAGCCAGATCTGTCTTGGGCATGGAGAGGACCCAAGAGCAGCACAGCCAGGTCTTTTATTTAAGCACACAGGCTCACCTCTGTTAGCACAAGTTGACGAGCAATCAGGAAACAATAGACCAGGAATTGAAGTCAGAGACAGCAGACCAGAAGGCTGGTGGGTTTACCAAGCCAGAGGCAAGGCAAAGGTCGAAGCCAGGTCAGGTCGATATCAGAGAAGCGGTCAGGAAGCAAGTGCTGGAAAGTCTGCGTAGGAGCGGTGACAAACTGGCAAAGAGTGAAAGAAGTGAAGCTGTACATTTACATCTAAGACACGTGTCCAAGACACGTGTCCAAGACACGTGTCTGTCATGAAACAATCTATCATACAGCGAGTCCAGTTTTCTGTGGCACAGTAGCCAGCTTTCTTTTACTTACTGATCGTTCACTTTATATCAACAAAGGAAAATATTTGCTGACACTTTAGTTTTGTTTGATCTGTATGTGCCATAAGTGGTTCTAAGTATGATCATGATGACAGTTATCTAGCACTATCTAACAGGTGACAAGGTCACCAGCATGACCTCAGATCTTCTAACCTCTGCATTAGAGACTTACTCTGAAGGATTAGTTTATTTTACACCTTAGGCCCTAAAAACCATCACGCTACCTGTATTTAAAACAGGTAATTCAGTTATCAGTTATCTGCTAACTGTCATCATCATATTTGTGGATATTCTCAGTCAGGTCATCATCATTAGGTCATCATAATATCTCAATTTTAAAGTAGGCAAATGGATTCACCTGAAGTCAGTTTAATGTTAGACGTTTGGCCTCTCCTCCAATCATTTGAGTTGAAGAATTGATGAAGCCTATTGAAACTGTTTTTATCACCAGTGAAGATGTGTAAATGATAACAGAATTTTATTTTTAATGTTGTACATGTGAGGTACTTTACTTATTTAAACCTAATGTAATGAAACACTAACCTAATTATGAAACAAAGAGGCTCCTACTATGGAAACTGCTGTTGTCAGCTCACTCAGTGTTGCAGTAATTGATTTCTACACTAATCTGTCACAAAATCACTTCCGCTGTTGTAACGGAACTGTTTGCCTTCACCATAAAAAAGATGAACCTTGTTTATTGATAACTATTTAAAATGAGAAAGAAACATAATGAAACACAAATGCAGAAGTCAATATTTATATTCATAGAGGTGGTGCGTTTTTAGGTCATTACTCTGTCTGTATCTTTTGGCTTCTACACGTAGTCTTGTTAGCTGTGCACTTACTCACTGCCCGGTGCTCAGCGAGGCTGATCTGAGACAAGCCGGGCATCTGAACAGAAGTTGGTTCTTCCATAGCCACGTGCTGGGAATTGAGATGCTATTTTAGGCTCAAACTATGTGTAAATATCGTGTATCAACTGTGTATCAGAGCAACGATAAATGGATGTACGTTATTAACGTGATTAACATTTTTGACAGTCCTAGCTTTTGTCGAGCAAAAGCTTCAGTGGGCAGCTATCCTTTAAGCTGCCCCCGTCAGTGGCTGCCCCACTGTTCCCTGCTCTCTGTTCACTCCATGGCAGATATCACGTAGCCTCATGGTTACTTTGGAGGTAAAAGGTCAGCGATGCAGCCTGTCAGGGTGATCCATGCAGGGTTGAGAAGCTGCACATGCTCACTTTTCCTCCCTAGAGGAGGTCAGGGCCACTTAGTTTTTTACTTTATCAGAGCAGTGAACAGGCGTGGATGAGATGTGGCTGGTATTAAAGTTTAAAACAGCTGTCACACAAATATGCAGAGACTTGGAGGCCGTGATGGTGACACTGGCTGTTTGGACAAGGACTCAAATAACAAAAAGAATTACCTACAATTCACTTGTTGCATTAAGTTGAAATAGATTTATGTATTTAAAATTGTATTTTATGGAAAACATTTACGGTATAAACATTGATATGTCATTATCTGTAGAAGATGTGGGCATTGCAGGTGTGAATGTATTGTTTGGATTCTACAAACAGAAATATGGGTGAAAAGAGTTGACCCAGGTGTAGCCACAAGACTGGCAGTGCAGCGACTCACGGGCAGAAGGAAAATTAAGAGAGAGAAGAGAAGTCAGACAAGGGCCACAAAAACCACAAAAACAGCACACAGTCTGATGTTTGCACTGGAGCTTAGATAACTGCAGGGCTGATAAGACGTGCGTGGATGGGCACGACTATGAGGTCAGCAAGGGAGGAAAAGGTCCAGAGGTCAGGTAGGAGGCCAACAGTAAATGCTCAGTCAAGTTTTATGGATTTAAAAGTAAGGTAACAACAGAAAAACAACAACAAAAACAAAAACAGCAGTATATTCAGTCATAAATCTGCAGAAAGAAACCTCTCACCGGCAGAAATTATATTTAGCTTTTAAGGCTAATTAATTGCCACAGGATACAAAAGTAATCATGTATTCATGACTTCACACAGTCATTTAAATAGACTAAAGAATCTTGAATATCATGTGGTTAATAATTTATGAAAATGTCTTCATTTCTTCAGGAAATGTAATAGAACATAAACATGTTATAGATTCATAAATTATAGCCAGTGGACTTACAGATAAATTGGAGTGTTTGAAATGAACTCTTTAAGTCTTGTTTGTTTACAAAAGACTGTTCAAAAACAAATCTGTTGAGCTCATGTTTACCTGCCTTTATGTAACATTTGTCTTCTTCCAAATACAAGTGTGTAGTGTGACTACAAGTGTGACTCTCTGTATATGTGCTAGACAGTGTTTGTGTGCGTGTAGCTGTGGTACTGTGAGATCTGGCAGTGATAACACACACAGGCTCACAAACAAACACACTGGTAACGTGATACACAGGGAGGGAGAAAACCAGCCGCTGAATGGGATATAAACACACTGTCAGGCTCATATATAGAGAGAAACACCCTGAGGCAGTCAAACAGTCAGCCTGCCACTGCAATGCAGACCAGAGCTCCCCCTCTGCTGTGTGGGAGACACACCAGTATCTAACAGGAGGGGGCGGAATGGAGAGATCCATCACATGGCCATTTTTATTCTCCTCAATCTTCCTCTCTATCCTCTCCGTCCCCGTCTTCTGTTTTTTTTTTATCCTTTATTTCTCTCTCTCTCATCTCACTTTTCTCTGTCGTCTTATTCCTCTGCCTTCCCCCTTTTTACAGCTTCCTTCTGAAAACAGACAACAGCCTGATGTTGGCACAGCAGCACTGAGGTGATCAGCAGCATAGGGTGACTAAAATTTAACAACAGTGGTTTACGAGAGGATGAGAGAAGTTTGTTTGTTTGTTTTTTTTTTGATTCTCTTGTGATGCTGGGGGTCAGTGGTGGCTTAGTGGTTAAGGAAGTGGACTTCGGTCTGGAAGGCTTCAGGTTATAGTCCACCAGCTTCCAAGTTAGCACTGAGGTCATTGTCCCCACACACTGCTCCCCAGGTGCTTAAAGCTGCACACTGTTCACTTTGGTGATGGGTTAAAAGCAGAGGTCACATTTGGTCACTTTTCTTTCCTTTATTAATACAGCTACAATAAGCAGTACATCATGGAATGACAGGAGTACCATGCATAAGCCGTGCCCCAAGTTCAATGGATAGATATAAATAGTAACTAATAAGTTGCACCAACTTTAATATTTATTTTCAAATTTTATACATATGTTTATGTATTCTAGTGGCGCTTTGGCCCAGAGGCAATGTCTCTGTCATTGGTGTGGAACCCCAGGGTTCACCTCCTGGGCAAGTTCGAATCCCGGTTAGGGCAGTTGGTACCTTCCAGTGGACTCACCACCCACAGGAAGGTTTGGTATGGTGCAATGTGATTTGGGTGGCAACTGCTGCCCCCGCGACCCGGTAACGGATAGACGGATGAAGATGGATGGATGGATGTTTATGTATTCTGGCTACAGCGCAGTGATAATAAACCAAGGAACTCACTCACAAAAAGCATGTGCTTCTTTATTAGAAAATATATGATGTGACTTTTGTATTGACTACAAGTAGACTGACACCATATGCTCAGTACACATTGATTTATAAAATGAAGACCTCAGCCATGGCTTTATTTCCTTGATACAGTTTATGTGTGTGCAGGTCAGCAGGTCTTCAAAGTTGTTTGTCCTCAGCGTATTCTGCCCAGTCTGTTTGATTTTAATCTTGTCAGGGCATTAGAAGTAGAACAGTCTTCAGTCTCACAAGCGCACATCACCGTAGTCCACGTGGACAGTTATGAGCTTGTTATCGTAGCATGAGAGACGCCTGCTGTTGATGCTGAGCTCAGCTGATCTTTTCTACAAAGTGACAGGACACGCACTCTCTGTGTGTTTATCTGCTGGAGGTTGGAGTGCTGTGCAGTAGAGCTGCCAAACTACTGCTGGGTCTGTGTAGGTTTGTCATATTTAATAAATGTGTGTGTGTGTGTTTTGTGTCTTTTCTGCAGGGAGTTTGCCAAGGAGAGAGAACGAGTGGAGAAGAGACAAGAATTCCTGAAGCTCCGTAGACAACAGCAAATAGAGAGAGAATTGACTGGATACCTAGAGTGGATCTGCAAAGCAGGTTGAGACGCTGATAATCAACCAGAGCTTTTTTTTCAATAATCATCAATTGACTGTAATTGCTGTTATAGTGACTTATGACTTAATTACACCTACTTCAGATTGGAGTGTCGTTATTTGTGTTTCAGAGGAGGTGATGTTGGCTGAGGAAGATAAAAACGCAGAGGAGAAATCGATGGATGGTGCCTGGTACAAAAGGAAACATAACAACTCAGGTGATGACAGCAGTGCTGCATATTTGGTTCTCATGAGCTTAGAAATTGGTATGACAACTGGTTCTAGAAGCAAACCCATGGACATCGACAAGAAGTAGCTTTTAGCCACTAGGGGGCGATTCCTGTGATTGTAATAAATAATCTCACACGGCCCACCCAAAATGACTTGGTCTGCGGGCCCTGAGTTTGAAACGTGGGATTAAGACTGATGTCACTATTAGCAAAAACAGATATTTATCCTATTTAGGACAACGGGACATGAAAGTGACCCTCGTTGGATTAAAAAAATGTATACATTGCTGTTCAAGATGTAATTTTAAGTGGTTACAGGTGACACATCAGTGACATTTCTGTGTCAAATAAACATTTAGGTCTTAAACTGGGACATAATTTTCCACTGTTATCCAATGTAAAACCATTGCTCTGTGTTTCTGTGCAGTGTTAACTACCGGTTAACAATTACTTCTTGTTAATTGAACACACAAGGAGTTTTGTTTTTATGTAACACTATGTATGGCGACTGTTTATTTTGTTCCCTAAAGTTGATTAGTAACTTTTCGCATTCTAAAAGGTTAATGGTAGCGGTGGGATTTAAACCCACGCCCCCGAAGAAACTGGAGCCTTAATCCAGCGCCTTAGACCTCTCGGCCACGCTACCGTACGGTTAATGTGTGGTACTTTTTGTATTACAGTGTGTTTTTACACCCTCGTTGTAGACGTGCGTTTATCGTCAGTGACATTTGTGCTAAACTGAACAATGACTCTGTCTGCGGGTGACATAAAAAAAAGACATTAGAGTACAGCTAGAAGTCAGAGTTTAAAAGACCGACGACCTTCACACAGGTTCAAAGTTCTCAAACGCCAAAGTTCATTGTAAATACAGCACCAGCAGCTGGTGGCAAAGATGATTAATATTCATATTCATATTTATACAAATACGACCTTCTCTATGTCCATCGTACCACGAGTTTGTTCAAAGTTTGTGCAGATTTGTGTTTGTATGTTTCTATATGTATATATATTTATATATTATTTGTTTATTTGCCATATATAATTGGTATTATTGCATTTGTTAAAATAGTTATGTTAATGCTTTATATAAATATTAATAGTATATATTTACTTTTATTTTGCAGTGCTAAAAAGGACAAAGAAGAGCAAAAATGACCTCATCAATGCAGAGGAGGGTGAGGACCACTTCACGGACATCTCATCTGTTGGTGAGGATAATATAAAATACAATAATATTTTTTCAGCAAACAGCTGGCATATTACTGCAGTGGTCCTTATTATACGGCCTTTGGCTATATGACCAGTGATATGCAAACTTCTTGTTTCGACTGAAATTCTATTAAACAAAAAAAAACGATAAACCTTGATATATGACACTGTACAAAATAATTTCAATTATAACCTATTGACGTTAAATTGTCTCTTTATAAAGAATGTCAGAGGGCTGGGAACAATCAGGGATGACATTTTTACTGATACACACAGTTTCTAGAATAGTAATGTTTAAGCATTGGTTGTTTTTTGTTAAATATATGTCTAAGAATTCTATATAATTGAGAACTGCTGAAGCTCACAAACAGAAACTTAGACCAAGATGATTGTCAATGATTATTGTTTAGATCTCTGATCTTTGTAAAAAATGTTCTCATTCAGCCCCTAGGAGTGGATATGTAGTTCTGTCGGTGAAGTTTTAACCTCTGATTAAGAAGACTTTCACAGCTGTGCTACCGTGTAGTTAAAACTTTGATTAACCTCTGTGGGCTGCAGTCTGATCTGTTTCTACACCTGTAGAACAAAGATAGTCGTTATACTAACTGAGACTGACACTCTCAGTCAGCTACAGGTTAACGACTCAGTCATCGAGGGGTTGGAGTCACACCAAGCTAGAAAGCTACTCTACTTTGTAATGTTAAATTAGTCAGTGTGGCAACAAAGGACAATTTCAAGACAAAGACAGACTCTGGAGGTCAAGCTCATAAAAATGATTTTACAGTATTTCAGGAATAAAGATCTACTGATCCCGCTACATGTGTTTGCAAGTACACAGTGTGTTTCCAATAGTGTGAAAAATCAGGGAATAAAAGTAGAAAACAAACATACAGTAATGCCATACCTTAAAGATGAACCTGCTAACACTTACCATTGCTCATGTGGATTTTTACCTATATTTAGACCTTTTTCTAGGACATTATATAAGTCAAAATAATATTGCAGTAGGAATGAAAAGAAAATAACAGGCAGAAGTGTAGGACCTCAGGTCATAGAGCATGAGTCAGATGTCAGGACCAATATAGTGCAGGAAATAATTAGCCCTCAGGTCTTCCTCTGCTTCTAACAGAATCATTTTTCTTCTCAACCGTTGTGACTCGACATCTGGGCTTGATTTGAGTTACAGGAGGTTTATTATAGAACTGGCTAAATGAAGGTAGGCACCCTTTGAGGGGGTAAAAACCACAGAGCCAAACCATGATGGTTAAAAAAGAGTTGCAGGTAGCTCAACACTAACGCTCTTCTGGGTTGGGACAATAGTTACTTATATCACTTTATAACATTTATGTTATA